TTCATGTGTTTTTGGAGGCCTGGTTAAATCTAATATTCTATCAAATTATAAATGAAGATATAGCTCAGGGAAGTTCATTATCATCTGTTAATGTGTCCCTAACTAGTGTATGAATCTCATTCATCCACCTCACTTTGCTCACAGTTGTCTGTGAGAAGGAAACCCTTGTCTGGTCACCAGTGAAAACCTTCTGTTGCTGTGTGAATGTGACCAAGTACACATTCAACATCACTAACCCTGCCTAATTCACCAATTTAACTATTTTAATATATCTTATCGAGAACACCCTACTCTTTGTCACAGCCACAGCACAGAAAAGACTTGGGTTTCTTGTTTGTTTTACTTTAAGGGGGAAAAAAAAAAAACAGAGAAGCTAGATAATAGCTATGCTTGGCTGTTGGAAACACCCACTAGGAGCAATCTCTGTTAGGAAGAGTCATGGCTGATGAACTGTGACTAGGCAAAGTGGAAAAACAGATTTTAAATTTATTTGTCTATTTTAATTATTTTTATTTATTTATTTTGTATCAGGCCTCTCATTCCCAAGCTACCTACAACACTTTCTCCAAATTGGTCTGATCCCTCTTTAACAGTTCAGCCTTTCCTTGAACAAGCCAATCCATGCAAAGGATTCAATTCTGGCCTCTTGTTGCCTCCTCAGAGTGTTGAGGGCTGGCAACTTTCCAGGTGACTCCAGGGAGGCCTGTGCCTACTAACAAAAGGAATGCCGCCCAGAGAAGTTGGTTATCAGGTGTGGCTTGAAGTTAGTGAACCAGAAGGAAGGGATTTCTCAGCCACTTAAAAGTGGAGGGGGCGGGGACCCAACCATCAGGAATAACACCTAAGTCTGCTATCAATCTGAACCCTGCTTTGGAGTGAAGTCTTTAAAAGAAAACTCATTCTGGTCAGATTTCAGTTGCAGAGAAGTATGCAAAGCTGAAAAATTTGGCTTTTCTGGGGGCGGTGACAGGGAAGTCTGCGGGAGGCATTTCTCCAGTAAGACAGTAAGGTGAGATTTCAATGGTATTTGCTATGTAGAGTTTATTCTTCTTAATGTATGTTTTTCATCTCTGATTTACCAAGGCCTCATGATTCTTGGAAAATCAATGAATTTATTTCTCTAATTAAGTTATTTTTAAGCAGGCAGTCTTAGTAAATAATTTTTCAGGATCACGCATAATAATGCAGTTTCTATGTAGGTAACATTTCTAGAGAAGTTGATTGTCTTCGTGGGTGCTCTCTGGGGCTTTTGTATGCGCCTGGTACTAACTTTGCGTTCAATACAAATCAATGGAACTAACTTACTTTAGGGCACTCATTCCCTAAGGAGTCATTAATGGAATTATCTGTGGCCCTTTTTCAAAAAAGTCACAATGAGGCTAATAAATGTTTTGTTTTTTTTTTCTAAGTGAAATCTGAATAAGGCACCAGGTTTATTAGCAGACTTTAAGTGCAAGGGACACACAACTCAGAGCTTTAAAGAACCATTTAACATCTCTGAAGACTTTCTCTTTTAGGGTTAAATTGTTTATACCAATAGGGAGGTATATGTCTGCAACTTCAAAATCATTCTGGGATGACATTAAAACTTAGAAGATTTTTTAATATCAGATACCAATGAGAAACCTAACAGTCTTTGGATTGGAAATAACTTATGGGGGTTTTCATTAAAGTTGGGTGCAGCTTGCTGCATTTTGGTTAGTTGGATGTCTTCAGCAATTTTTCAAATGTTTTGGGTTTGGCAAAGTCCAAAATATTTTTTGCCAAGACCCTCTTTTCCCCTTATTTTTTAAATCCGTGTGAAATTCAAGGATAACTTAATCCATATGTGTCTGATTCATTTACACTTAACTCATCAAAATGTTATTTTCTGAGGCCCACTTAATATCCAAGAAAACTTTTGAGCTTGTAAAGCGAGTCTTTTGTCTTCGAAATAGCAAGTTGCATTTTCCTAAGTGAATGGAGCTTGGACTAGTAAGGTTGAAGATGTGTTGATTTTCAACTCAGAATCTTCAAATTTTAAGTAGAATCAAAGCTTGATATTCAGTTTATTACTTAAGCCCTGCAAAGGGTCATTTAAAAAGTATGGATTCATAAAACTGAAAATACTTTATTTCAAGAATTTTTGGGAAAGTGCTCACTTCGCCAGCACATATTCTAAAATTGGAAGAATTTGGGGGAAAGAACATATATGGAAATTTCATCTTAGGAATATTAAAGAAAAGAAAAAGCATTCCTCATTTGATTTCTTTTAGTTTGTATTTTAAACGACTCCATCCTATGTAAATTGGTGCACAGTATTTTCTAAGACTGTCTTGAGAGTCAACAGTGTGGGGAGGAAGAGAGTTGTAATTTCAAGTTTTCAAGGTCCAAGTTTTCCTACAGTCAACTCATTATTAATTTTAATAATATCTATAGTGTTGAGGAAATATAGCAAGATCAGGGGAGTTGACAATTGGCAGGAGTTAAAGAGATTCCTGAAAAAAAAAAATTGGGGCCCATGTTTTTTAAATTCTGTGTGATTTGAAAGAATGTGGTAGAATTATGAATCTGGCAAGAAATCTGGCAAGAAACATTGTCTGAGAACAAAAATGCAGAGGCTCAACAGAGCCCACGTGAAGAAAGCAAAATCTCCATGACCCCTTGTAAAAGGATCTAGTGAAAACGTCCCCGGCTTCTATTCAGACTTGTTTTGGAGAAATAGGCAAAGAAAGGCCATTGCCATAACTGCTAGTGAACATCCAGTCCACGCCATGGTAACTAGTTGAAAATGTAATACTGGAGTGGCATTTCCAAGTTCAGTGCTTCTATAAAGACCTGCTAGCACACAGACTGCTTTTTTAATGTTCTGCATTGTTGTGTAGCCCCCATTGAACAACCTTTTGAGCGGACCCCGTTTTTTACTAATGTAAACATTCTGAGAGTATCCAAAGAAATGACCTTTGAGTGAACCTCTAACCTTCCCAGTAATTATTTGTTTGAAGACAGTGTGGAGTTCTCCTGCTGAGAACTAAGAACCATGGTGCCTTGCAGCTCTGTGAGTAAGGGAGTGTATGAGGGAACTAGAGAGAAAGACATAAATAAGGGAACAACCTCCAGATGTAAATAATAAAAGAGTAAAAGGGCAAAATTAAAAAGGGAAAAAATAGCAATTCGTTTAACCTAGAGAGTTAGTCTACAGGACACACACACACACACAGACACACACACACACACACACACACCAGGATTGGTAGTTCATAAAAAGAGGTCCAGCCTCTGCCCTGTGTGTCCTCCACCAAAACTGTCAGGGCAAAAAGAACAGGCTGTCCTGAGCATCTCCACTGGTTTTAACCTGATCCCGAGGAGAAGGAAAAGTTTCCAGGGATGGAAATATCAGGTCAGCCCCGCTTAGTCACAGTCAGGGCCCGGGGATGGAGGAGATAATGAAGTTCGTTTTCTGATTGGAGGGCTGCTTTCTGGACTACTCCTAAGCACCACTGCTTAGGTGGGAATAAATATGCACTTTCAACTCTCCTTTTGTTTTCACCTCTCCTTCTAGTTGCCTGTCACTTTCTTCCCCAAAGCCAAAGAGCACTTTTTGACAACTGGGCACTCCTTTCTGGAGTAATGAAGAAGTTCATTGTTTTGCAAGCAGACATCATATGCAAAAGAGTCCTTCGGTTTTCTCCTGGTTGTTTTTTCTCAGCCTACTTGTATTCCCACCAGAGTCCTCCCAGGAGGCCTGCGTGGACTGACTGTCTTCCTCTGGGAGGACTTTGGCTTCACAGTAGCACAGGGCTACCAACACGCACTAGGATTCTTCTGGCTAATTTCAGAGAATGAGTTTTCAGTTCCTGCCTGTAGCTTTGCATGGACTCATTAATCATTAAATCCCCCTGCGCTTAAGATTTGAAAGTCGAAATATTGAAGAAAAGTTAGCAGTAGGTACAGTTTTAAGGAGCAGCTACCTGTGTGCTCCTTGTCACTGTCCCTCCCCAGCCACATGCCAGGCCAGGGAATCCGGTGGGCGAGTTCAAATGTGTGGGGAATACACATCATTAAAAGCTCAGGGACAAGGGTAACTAGCACATGGTAGAAAATTGTTTTGTTTTTATTAAATTTGGAGAAATAAAGGAGATTTCTTATCATCTTACTCTGTTTGTACATGAATATTTGATGGGCATTATTAAACATTAAAGTAACATGAAGTAGGCACTTATTTTTGGATTTTCAACAAAATTAGATCCAGGCTTCTTAGACAAAATAACTGCTTCTCCTTCGCATTCCTGCAATTTAGCCACCGCCTGATTTGAAAACGTTGCTTGGGCTCTAATATCAACCATGTGTACCTGAGGCTCTGCCTTTCTGGTAGGTTGAAAGGTGGCTGGGTTTATGGTTGGCAGTTACCTTATCCGCTGCCCTGGGTGTCCCAGCTTAGGCTGGAAAGGCCGCCCCCAGCTGGCACTGACCTCTGAATGACCCCTAACTTTACAGGCTTAAGCTGCAGGAGTCACCGAAGAGCAGAAATCTTTCTGGCCAGCACTTATTACTGCTGTGTTGGTGATAAAACTTCAGACAGCCTAATTGATGGCTTTGCTGACCTAACAATACCTTGTGAAAGCAGAGTGCCAGAGCCTGGTCTCCATTTAAGACCAGCTGCAAAGGGAAGCTGAGTCTCCCTATGATGGGGAGTCCAGGAAAAGGCAAAAGCCTCCCAGTCTGTGAACTTTAACCAGCTTCCCACTTGTTTGAGAAGCACAGACGCAGATTAGAAGATTTCTCGCACAGAACTCTTCTCCCTTCCTGAGCCTTCATAGCAAGTTGGCTTGGCCTTGGCCCAGCCGGGAAGGGTAGAGGTGATCCAGTCAACTCTGTCCCATCTCTGGAAGGGGAAATGGCCTTACAATAAGAAAAAATTCCCAGTAGATGTTTGATTGTATAGCTTTCTCCACAGCCTTCAACACACAGCTGTTCACAGAGACCAAGGTTGGTGACAGGAGTTCTCTGTTCTGTTTTAGGTTCATCAACGCCAGGAGGAGAATAGTACAGCCCATGATTGACCAGTCTAATCGAGCAGGCAAGTTCTCCCTTGTGTCTCCGTGTCCCATGGGCACAACGGCTCCCCCAGTTATTCTGCAGGAGTCTTGTCCCCTGCTAAATGAGTGCTTCCACCCGGCATTTTGGGAGATTTTTTTTTTTAATGTCCCCAGAATTCTGCTCTAGGAAGCAACTTCACTAATTGGTGCTAATTGGAGATTTCCCACCCTGACTCTACTGAAACTGCTTTTTATTTTCTTTCTGAATTGGTAATTGGGTACACGTATTAGTGCCACAAGCAGTTTGCTTGACTGTGAGCTCTGGAATTACCTTGCTTGTCTGCATGCCGTCATTAGCACACTCTCATTTTCTTGTCCCCCTCCAATTTCTTAGTGTGTGCTTTGCTTTCACTCCTAGAGCATCCACAGTTAAACTCTTTGTATCCATTCAATCCATTCTGCTTTGACTATTCATAATATTCTATTAAAACGTGATGTGCCGCATTGCCAGCATTATTTTTTATTAAAAGATTATTACCTTTGTTTAAAACGCGTCGCACACATCCCACTAAAATACACAGGGGTTTTCTCACAGTGTCTCTAAAACAGTCATTACACAGCACCATCAGAACCCTCCCGGTGCACTCCTAATCATTCTACTTTGAAATAGTTATTTCCTTAGTTTTCTGAGGAGTTGTGGTCTCCTCAATGAGGCTCATATGACAAAACCATTTTCCTTGTGATGATGACTGCAAGAGCATTAGACTTGATGGAGATCTGAACTATGGTCTCTGTCTGAAGAATTTATAAAAATTAGTCATCCTTGGGGCCAGGGATTTAGCTCAGCGGTTCTGCCGCCTGCTTTGCAAGCGCAAGGTCCCAAGTTCGATCCCTGGTACCGTTAAAAAAAAAAATTAGTTATCCTTTAGCAAAATTTTCCCATGAACACTGGAAAAAACCTTCCATTACTGGAGGCTAGGCAGCTGTCTGTTGGAGTAGAATCTAAAGAGAAATATTAGATTTTCCATATTTGCATGATCTTTGGTGTGAGTAAAAGGCAACTATTCAATTGGGTCTCTTACATCTTTAAAGATTATATTCAAATTCCAAATGTTTGTGTACGAGGGAAACATTTTTCTTATCACGCCCCTTGAGATGGCAGGATCACCAAATCCCAAGTCAGTAGCACCTCATAGTGCTACTGGCCACCCCTGACTTCTCCGGCTTCTAATGGCTGCAGAAGCTGGCTGGTGAAGTCTTCCCCTCAAAATATTTTTAAAGCTCCTCACCCACCTCCACTTGGTCATGAAAACGTAGTGCAGATGAGATACTCCCCAGTCTAAAGGGCCCACCACGTTGTTGCTGTGACGTTACAGTGCTCAGAGGGAACAATTGCTGATTGTTTGGTATGTCTTTTCTTCTTTCTCCTCTGTGTCCTCGAATGACTACAATCAGGTTTTCTTCTTGATCCTTCAGTAAGCCAAGGAGCGGCATACAGTCCAGAGGGTCAGCCCATGGGGAGCTTTGTGTTGGACGGTCAGCAACACATGGGGATCCGGCCTGCAGGTAGGTCCGCTCCCCCTCCTCTGGGCCTCCCTGGAAAGTGTCACGCACTCCACCAGCCTCTTCACCCATTCTGCTCTCCCACTCGTGGAGGGTTTAACATTTGCCTGCTGCCTGCTCTGCTTGCTTTCTTTATATTGGGCGGGGGAGAAAAATCCTCTTTGAAAAAGTAAAGATTTTACAAGCAGTAACCGTTTTACTCTGCCCCATACACACCCTTTTTCTTTTTTTCTTTTGACACCAAGGCAATAAGTGAAAAGGAATCTGAGTGTCCGCCTATTTTTTCACCATCAATTATTGCTGATTTTCTGGCCTCTTCTTGGATTTTATCTCCTTTCTAGGACCTATGAGTGGAATGGGCATGAATATGGGCATGGATGGGCAATGGCACTACATGTAACCTTCATCATGTAAAGCAACCGCAAAGCAAGGGGGAAGTAAGTACAGCGGTGCGATCTGTCTTCGCTATCACCTCAGAGACTTCATTTGATTTTTTGTTTTTTATAATTTGCCCCCGTTTTATTTTTCCTTGCCCATAACTGCATGCCTTTCCAAACTAAGGACCTGTTTTTAAAAATATATCACCTATCTCTAAAGGCACAGATGACGCTGATGTGCACTTTTGAAAAGGCCAGCTGACAAGCCTGCATGGGTTTTAAGCAGGTGGGACTGGCTTCCAGCCTATTTACTACGGCCCCAGTGTGCACAGACACAGACATCAGGCAGATATTGGACATTTAAGAATAAAAATAACATCTTGGGGGCAACAGTTGACTGCGAGAAATTAAGCAGGCTTCAATGAAGCGATTAAAAAAAAGGAAAAGTAGAACTGTCCTTTGAGTGACATAAATCTGTCAGGACACGATTGATGCCCAAATTATCTTATATGCAAAGATGAAATGCTGCAGTTCATTATGCCTAGTCTAGATATATGACAGCAGTGACACCACTGATTCTTCACTAGGGAGTCGGTGTGTTTTGATTATTTTTTACATGTGCCTACTGACTTTCGACACGAGACAGAAAGACAGGAAAGTCAGTCAATAAATTTAAAGGGAAAGACATTTAGGAGCAACTGAATATGAAGGAATGGATTTTTCACTGAGGCTGAATGGCTGCAGTTGGATTAAGAAACCCATTAGACTTTAAAGCTTCAAGTGTTTTTGACATCTGAAAAAAAATTCAGAGTCTGCCAACAAGATATATCCTTTGCTGAAGACACCGGAGCATAACCAAATTCATATAACATTGAAACTTCCTTGTTTAATGAGGCTGAATATAACAACACATACCTTGATTAAATCATTCTCTATATGTAAATAGAGGCCAACATTTTACATGAGCTCTTTGAGGCTCACCACGGCACACCACTGATGAAGCCTGTTCTCTCGCTTCCTTCTTTTACTGATGCAGTCAAAAATGTAGAAAGCAATGTTCCCTAAAACAGCTATAGAGAAAACATTTGCTCAGCTTGGATAATTCTTAATATAGGCCATATAATTTCTAGCCTATTTAATTACATAACATATTTTATGCTTCATGACCAATTACATTAATAGCTTAATACAGAAGAATATTATCCTCTCTTGATTTGATTATGCAGCCTCACAATATGGTATATTTGGTACTTAATTATCATCATCCATTGAGCAGGCTGCTGTGCTAGAATAAACAGAGAGCAGAGACGATGCAGGCTGTGTTATTGTCTTTAGACGGTTTTGCCACTTCTGTTAATAATGGACTGTGGATCTACTTAACAAAATGACTGCAGCGTATAAGCCTTCAGCTTACACTGTCAAAAACAGCTGTTCAGCTTTTCAACTGTACGTACTGGAGGTTAAATAGAGGTGAATAAAGCTGTCCTTTTAGCTCTGGGGATGTGCAGCAGTAAATAGAACGCTCACTCAGTGAGCAGGTAACTTACGAGAGAAATCACAATTCTTCAATTACTGACTTCCGCGTTTCAATAGTAACTTCAAATTTGGCGTATCTCAAGAATTTCTAGATGTATTATATCTGGTTCCTAAGATCAAGTCATTTTTTGAGAGGGATGTTCAGAAATAAACTACTGGGCATATCATATGACCTTATATTGACTTCTTACCTTTGACCTTTACAGTCTCTTGAGTGTACTGCTACAAGGATGACTCTAATTCAAAAAAGGGGGCCTCATTTAAAATATACGTAAAAGCCTGTCCATTCAAAATGAATATGCCATAATGTTTTGTATAATAAATTTTTATGAAGAAATATAGGTATGATGTCAACTTATTTCATTTGAGTATCTACAATTTTTGTCCATATCTATAAATGCAACAAAGAAAAATAAATGATATATCAACAGTTAACTGATAAAACTTGACTCAGAATTTATATTCTTATTGCATTTATCAAAGAAATGTACTGAATACCATTTTGAAAAACAGTTCCACTTTATGACATTTAGTTGCATTAAATATTTAGTTCTGTTGTGTTGCATTATACTGCTGTGCGATGAAATTAAATGCAAACTACAATTTGAATGTCTGCAAACATTGGCAAGAATCTGCAGCTAAATTTAGATATAAGATTTGCAGTGTCTGTTGTTTTTTTTTTCTTTTCATCTTTGATGGGTAAAGTATAAAAATGTTTAGGAATTTGACCCGCTTTCTTTTTCCCTCTCTGTTTGCAGGTTTGCAGAGCATGCCAGGGGACTACGTTTCTCAGGGTGGTCCTATGGGAATGAGTATGGCTCAGCCAAGTTACACTCCTCCCCAGATGACCCCACACCCTACTCAGTTAAGACACGGACCCCCAATGCATTCGTATTTGCCAAGCCATCCCCACCACCCAGCCATGATGATACACGGAGGACCCCCCACCCACCCAGGAATGACGATGCCAGCACAGAGCCCCACCATGTTAAATTCAGTAGATCCCAATGTTGGCGGACAGGTCACGGACATTCATGCCCAATAGTATAAGGGAACTCAAGGGAAAAAGGAAACACACGCAAAAACTATTTTAAGACTTTCTGAACTTTGACCAGATGTTGACACTTAATATGAAATTCCAGACAGCTGTGATTATTTTTTACTTTTGTCATTTTTCATCAAGCAACAGAGGACCAATGCGACAAGAACACAAATGTGAAATCATGGGCTCACTGAGACAATTCTGTCCATGTAAAGATCCTCTGGAAAAAAGACTCGGAGAGTTATAACTACTGTAGTATAAACATAGGAACTAAGTTAAACTTGTACATTTCTGTTGATCACTCCGTTATGTTGCCTCAAATAGTTTTAGAAGAGAAAAAAAAATATATATCCTTGTTTTCCACACTATGTGTGTTGTTCCCAAAAGAATGACTGTTTGGTTCATCAGTGAATTCACTATCCAGGAGAGACTGTGGTGTATTTGAAACCTGTTGGGCCAATGAGAAGAGAACCACGCTGGAGACTATGATGAACGTTTGGCCGAAACTCTTCACTCAAACTCCAGCTTCAAGAATGTGTTTTCATGCCTGGCCTCTGTTCCTCCACATATGTGTCCTTTAGTTTCAAACAGATCTTTATAGTTTGTGCTTCATAAGCCAATTCTTATTACGATTTTGGGGGACTCTTCTTCAAAGAGCTTGCCAGTGAAGATTTAAAGACAGAGCAGGAGGCTTCTTCCAGGAGTTCTTTGCCTTGGCTGTGGATAAAACAATCTTAAGTTGGGCAGCTTTTCCTCAACACAAAAAGTTATTCATGGTCACTGCACCAACACCAGGACTTTATCAGAAACTCAAAGCTTGGGGAATAAAGAAGGAGCAAGAGAATACTGTAACAAACTTCGTACAGAGTTCAGTCTATTAATTGTTTCATGTTAGATATTCTATGTGTTTACCTCAATTGAAAAAAAAAAGAATGTTTTTGCTAGTATCAGATCTGCTGTGGAAATGGTATTGTATGTCCATGAAATCTTCTTTTCTCAGCACGTGTTCCTCACTAGAAGAAAATGCTGTTACCTTTAAGCTTTGTCAAATTTACATTAAAATACTTGTATGAGGACTGTGACGTTATGTTAAAAAAAAAGGTGTTAAGTCACAAAATGCGGTAATAAATATTTCATTTTTGATTTTTTGTTAGGCTTTGGTGTTTTTAATGGTTTTAAGGCCAGGTTGCACAGTGCCAGCTATATATGGTATAGAAAGTCAGTGACCCACCCTCAGAACTTGAGTGCATTTGAAACTTACCAATAATTTTTAAGGTCACCACCTGTAGCCTTTCAGTGTGTATTTCTTCTATAAGTTCCACCAGCAGAATACTTCTAAAGGTGTGAAATTGTGCGTGTGTTACGAACCAGGATGAAAGACCACCTTCAACATGCCCAGCCTCCTTTATAGATGCATAGTACTTTAAAATACTGTCAGGTAGTTTTTCACGTGCAACCTCTGCCAGAATGCACCACTTTATTAGGGTTAATTTTACACCATTAGAAATAAGATCTGTGTGCAAAGTGCATTTATCTGCCTATGTTTCGCCCTGTCCTACCAAAAATACTGTTGAGTGTATAAATGAAAATTTACAGATAGATATCCATAGATAAGTAAACAACTTCTATAGAGTTTGAAATCCTGAGTTTAAAAGATTACTTAAGCATTCATATTTAATATAAATTATATTATGGTGTTGTCTTATTTCAGACACCTTCATGTACATAGATGCTAGTATGATGATTTGGTAACCAAAATTTGTCTCTTAAGAAACAGACAATATTATGCCATTTTCAAATTTTTGTATGCCATGAGCTTGTTGATATTACACAAACAATGCCTGCCAGAGTGTGCAAAGAGTTGGGGAAGAGTGAGGTATTTGCATGTTCCTTGATTTTTCAAATAAATATACCACCCTGGAATTTTTTAACTCCTAAACTTCAGACCCTATGTTTAGAATGGATAATATAAATTTTGAGGGCTGGGGATATAGCTCAGTGGCCCCGAGCCTGCCTGGCAAGTGCCAGGTCTTGAGTGCAATTCCCAGTCCTGGGAAAAAAAATTTTAAATAAGAATTTAAAAAAACACTATTGACTAGGTATGTGATGTCACCTTGATAGGGAAATAGTTCATTCATCCTGAAAATTTTAAGTTGGAAGAAATCCATAGTTGTATCTTGTTTGGGGCTCTGCCATTTTCCCACTTCAGACAGCATTCATAGAAGTTCTATATAAATGACCAAGGAAATAAACTGCTATTGTTTTGGATTTAGGGAAATTTTTGAAAGCACATTTATCAATTTAACTAGTGCAGTGCTGTTTAAGCATAGAAATAGCATTTCTGACACAAATGCACTCTTAATGGAGACATTCTGTGCCACTTGGAAAAGAGAGAGAGCTTCCTTCTCATTTTTGCTACCCCATTTTACATGGAGACTTTATGTAAAATTTAAATATTTGCATATTGTTACTTTATATGTACTCTTATTTAAACTCTGACAACTTCCCCATTTATAAATTAACTCTCACAGCAGCTGAAAAAAAAAACTTTGGCAGTTTTTCTTCCTTTCCTCTCAATAAAGTACATGCTGAAGGGTTTGCTTGGTAATTGGTGCATGTTTAGGACATGTCATGTGAAATTATTAAGTTATTTCTTTGCAGATTAGAAGCCAGAGCATTCTATTATTGGTTTTTAATGAAGAAAACAATCCACATTCTATGATGTTCACTTTAATCCTCTGAAATAGGTGGAGGTGAATGGTAATTGTAATAAGTCTGTTTGCATCCCCCCACACACACACATCCCATGCCAAGACAGCAGGATGATAGCTTTGTCCGATTTTCAGGGTACTTTTTATACCACCTCGGAAGGCACTTGCTCCTATCTCGGTTTTACTATTTAGTATAAAGAGTTCCGATTTGGGTATATTTAAGAAAGACTCAGCTGTCAAAAGCAAAGAAACTGGGAATGGTGTTTTGACAACCATATAGTGTTAAAGGAAATACTGTAGTCTGAATAAAATTGCTTATGTTCTCCAAAACAAGAATAATATAAAAACACTTTTTTATTTATATGGAGAAGCAAAAGCAGAAATAAATTCCAAAGGTTTCCCTTTCTTTAAGAAATTCTGAGAGAACTACAGTCGCCATCTGTTAAGGTTTGGGAATTGAGCAAGAAGCCACATTTTAAAGGGGGTGGGGTGGGGAGGAAAAAAGACCCGGAAAGCCTGTGTCTTCCTCCCTCCCTACTCCCTCCCACTGCCCAGGTCAGCACTGCACCCCTTCCCCCAGGCCCGCTCCGGGTTAGATCTGAGCGGAGGAGGCTCGGGGTGCCCCTGGCCCCGCGGGCCTGTTAACCGGGAGCAGATTTGGGCAGGGAAATGTGGCTAATATCTCTAGCAGCTGTCAAGGGAGGCCCTCCCTTCGAAGGGCCTGGACGGGGATCCCCCAGAAGTTCCCCCAATAGTCTTGCTGGCGGGAGATCCTCTAAGGGAGTTGCCCGGGGCTGGCAGGCCCGGGGTGGGGTGTCGGGGTGCGCGGGGTGACCCCGGGCAGGGGCTGGGCGGGTGC